TGTTGTTGTAGTGCGTGGAGCTACAGCTTTGACAGAGGTAGGAGTAGTTTCCATGCAGTGCAGCCTGTTGCCTGGAGGAGAGGTGGGAGGGGAAGAAAGAGTCTTTCAGGAGGTAGAAAATGTGATGCCAGCATTGCCACATCAAAGAAGAAGTTGAACCTGGGTCTTCAATTTCAGAACAGAGTTCAAACCACTGAAATATTATAATTTAAAAAACACACACACACACAAACCCAACAAAAAACAAAACCAATGAACCAAGCAATCAAAAACAAAACCAAAAAAACCCCAAGCACTTCCTTGTGCTTTCCCTTTCCCCATCTCTGGATCCCATCATTGTGCCAGGGTGACCCCCCAGAGCCAGGAGCAGTGGCTGGAAGGCACCAGAGTGTTTCTGAATGGGTTGTGGTTTACAATGGGGTTTAGGTTCCTAAGTCCTTTATTGGATCTAGCCCAGGGCTCTATTCCCAGCCCTGCCTGTGACATTAACAGGTCCCTGCAGCCCCAGGGCTGTCCCCTCAGTGTCCTCACTGCCTGCACGCTGCTGGCTGGCACAACAACGAGTGCAGGGCAGCGGTACCCACGCCCGAGAAGTCTCAGCACAACCATCATGTAAGTGCTTAAATTAATTTGCGAGGTGGACAAACCTTGCTTCTGGCCTTTTTGAAACAGTGCCACCACACGCGTCGCACAGGAGCGATATAAATAGGTTTTAGGATGCCCTGCGTTGCAGCAGACAGCAGGTATTTCAGAAGCAGTGCTGCTGGCAGTGTCATGTCAGGGCAGCCTCTGCTGCATTAGTGATGGTTTGCATCCTCTGCAGATAAACTGGTGTGAGAGCAGTGCTCTGCACCTGGCTGGGGCTGGATCAGGCAGGCAGTACAGAAGGGGAAGGGACGGATGACTGTGTATTCCTGGCACAGGTCCTGCTTGTCTTTGGACAGGTTTCTTCAGACCAGATTTTCCACAGAGTACCTGAGAGTGTCCATACATGCACCCTTACACACAGATCTCATGTTTCTAAGGGAGTTTGCCCATATATACCCCTCATTGGGTCCATACTGAGCTGAGTGATTGAGCAGGGCTGTGAGCAGAGCTCATGGGCACTCATATCTGTCCTGTACTTCTGTGTTTTTTTCTTCCTGTGTGCATGACACTTGCGGAAAGCTCTTGTACATTCAGGGCTTCCCTTCTTGAAGAGCTTTGATGCAGCTGGGGCAGTGACCTAGACACGGGATCTGCCCATGTGGCAAGGTTGCCCTGGCAGATACAACCTTCACAGATGTGTTTGTGGGTCTGCCCCATTTCCGAAATGGCCATATTGAGCCTGTCATGTGTGTGAGTGATGCAGTAAGCTCAGCCAGGGGGGACACTTGGGTAGCGGGGTGCTCAGCATGGTGGTGGAGAGCCCATCTGCCACCCAGCATGTGGCACTGACTTGGCACCGGCAATGCCTGCGCTGGCATTTGCAGCATGTGGGGTGCTGAGCTCTCAAGCACGAAGCTGCTGGTATGAGACCCCAGAGCTGTGGGAAATCTTGGCTGTCTGAGCATTTCTGAGCAGGGCTTCAGGGTCCCAGCAGGACTTCGGGGTCTGGCAGCTCCTGGGTGCAAGGGCTGGTACCTTGGTGGTAGAGGAGGAGGCCACCTCCATGCCTTGCAGGCTGGTGTTTTGAACACTTGCCTGAGAAGTGGGCTCAGCACTCTCCAAGGGAAAGGGCTTTCAAATCCTCCATCTCGCTTCTGGAGAGCTCATAGTCAGAGTGCTTGGCTGAGAGAAGGAAGATTGGTGATCTGAGGGATGTGGTTGCTCAGGGTCAGAGCAGAGGAGGACCTAAGGAGCTGATGAGATGTTTGGATCTCTGCTGGAAGCAGGGAGGCTCCGGGGGGGGGGCTGTGGGAGCACAGCCTTGATCCCTCCTGAGAGGAAGTGCCATCACCAGTGAACGGTGGCCAAGCACAGCTGGCACCTGGCAAACGTGAATGCAGGGCTTGTTAGACTGTGCACAGACAGCTGATTGTACCCTCAGACACAAATCCTCCTTAATCAAAGCCTGGAAGCATCCTCAGAGGTTTCCCAGGCAGATCTGTGGTGCTCAGCCCCCTCCGTCAGCCAGTCCTGGGAAACCAAGGTCGGTGCCTGCCTCCCTTCTCTCCTCTCCTCTTCCCTGTTGCTCCAGCTTCCTCAGCAGAGCTGGTGGCTGCTTTTGGACTCCTTCAGAGCAGGTTTCATGGTGCTGGGCAGCTGACTCCATGCTGATCCCAAATCCCATCACATCGCAGGGTTTTCTCATCCTCAGTCTCGCAAATGAAGCTGCAGACCAGAGTCATAGCCTGAAATAGGTTGAAAGGGACATCCACTCATATGGCCTGCAAAAGGAACAGAGGACCTGGCCATGCAAGGGTGCATGCAGCTCTGGAACTTTAGGACCAGCATTTTTTGTGGTATTATACTGACGGGAAGGCACTCAGGGGGATTTTGAGGTGACGAGGTGCTGGCTGTATCTGAAGTAAGCAGGAGCTAGGTAGGTGTTGCTTGAAGCACCACTGAGACCCGAAGTGTGTTTGGTACTGGTGGCTATGCTCCAAAAGCCTCGACAGGGATGGAGACCTCTGAAAGTGTTCTGACTCTTGAGTGTTATTTAATAGAAGGATTTAAAACCTGCAAACTCTTCTCTGACAGTGGATGAGCCAGCAGCCTTGGCTTCTCATGTTCTCTGACTTGCCCACTCCTTACTGAGCTGCAGTAACTTGCTGTTTCTTTTCTTTTCCCATAGCTCCCAGAATGGACAAGAAGAAGGTGGAGCCTGGCCGAACAACCAGTTTGACACAGAGATGCTCCAAGCCATGATCCTGGCTTCAGCAAACGGTTGGTCTCCTTCACATGTGGGAAAACAATGGCACTTGTTCTCATGTGGACATCTCAGATGCATGCTATTAGATAGGAGGCTGGTGGGATTGATGTAACTGGGTTAACTGGGATGGCTTCAAAAGTCCTTCTTCAACCACCACTGGTGGAAAAGCACTGCTGTCTGTGTTAGCCTGCAGAGGAAAGGTTGGAAAGGATCCAGACGGAGGAGATACCAGATAGCCATCAACATCTGCTGTAGACAGGGGTACCTCTTCCATCCAGACTGTATTATCTATGTACTGGACAGAATGGTACCTTGTTTGTGATGGGGTTGTGTTAAATGAAAGAGCCAGTCTTGAGAGGTGTTGTCAGCTATTTGGTTCCAGGTCACAGCAAATGCAATGTCTGCTGTGTTGTAACTTGCTGTAAGGCGAGGAGGTAGGAATCCTGGAAGGTTTGCTTGTGGCTGGGGGAGGAAAGCCATAAATGCCTGACTCAGTATCCCCTACAAGTCCTGTCCAGAGGTGTCTGTGTGTGCTCCCTGCTCGCACTGGGTCCCTCTGCCGAGCCGTGGTCTCACCAAGGTTTGCCCCACCAGCTGCTGCTGGTCCTTCACAGCTGTAGTCACCGGGGTTTGGTTTGGGGTCATTTTGGGTTGGTTTGTTCTGGTTTACAGCTGTGTTGTAAAGCAGTGGGCAGGGAGGGGTGTTCCCATGCATCCATGGTCTCCATGGCTTTATGTAAAAGAAATGCAATTATCTCTCTGTGCAGTGCTCTGGATAAAGAGTCTGGTTTTTGTACAGCCTTTATTTATAAATACCTCCAAGTCTTTTTTCCCTTGATTTAAAAATAGAAACAACAGCACAGCCATAAAACCCTGTGCGAAATGCTTAGGATATTTCCTTTGAGCTGTTGAGAGAGAAGGAATTTGGGGGAGGAGGGATGGCTGTGGCATTGCTTTCTTGGAAAGCTGCTGCAGCTGAACTTTGCCGCTCTGCAGACACCAGGCAGCTTGGAGACACCACTACCGTGGCTGGGGAAGGAGACCAAGGTCTTGGACAAGGGAGTTGTTTACACTCAAGGGGGGGAATAAAAGAGTGAAAACGTGTCTCTGCTCTGAAAAACGACCATGGAAAAATAGCCGCTGGGACTACATGTGGTTATCATCACCCAGTGCCTCCAGATCCGGTTTCCTTGCTCACAAATAAAGCTGTTTTTCTGACTGCCACTGCAGCAGCCCCCAGGATCAGATCTGAGCGGGTCCCTTCCAGGTTAAGCACCGACTTCCCCATAGCCTCGGGCCCTGTTGCAGCCTATCTCCCCCAGTCCACAAATTTCAAACATCTCTAACCTCTCCCACGGCTTCAGCCTACCCAGGGGGTCAACTTAAATCAGATCCATCCCCAGATAAGGGCTTTCCCTGCTGCAGCCCCTGGGAAATGATGGTTCCATGCACTCCAGCCTTTTTGCTGATCCCTTGCTGGGATGGAGACACAGCACAAGCTTTTTCCACCAGCACTGTGCTTTCATGTCTCCCCTCTTCTCTCTCTCTCTTTTTCTGCTCTCACTGGCTAAGCCAATAGTGATGATTGGAGCAGGCTTTAATTAGGGGCAGTGCTAATTGCCCATCAAGCTTTGTGCTGCCCGTTCTTGGGTAATGTTTCCTGGCTATCTAAATGATCTTTATATCTTCTTGTCACCTGCTGAGCTCTGAGCTCTGGGGTGGCAGGTGGGACAAAGTAATGACACAGGTGATGGCACTGAGCCTTTTTCTCACCTCTGAGCCTGCATCCCTACCTTGTGCTGGGGATTATCCTTCATCACAGCAAAAGGCAAAGCTGGTCCTGCCATGCCAGGATCCAGTCACTCTGAGGATTAAATTGCTTGCCCAGTGGTTAAATCACCCTCCCAAGCCAAAGTGCCTGGGGAGCTGGTTCACCCCTAGGGCTGTGGCCCTGCTGTAAGTCTTCTACCTCCCTTCCTCTGGATTTTCCTCCCTCGCAGCTGGGAACAACGTGAAAAGCCAGTGTTTTGAGCCCTTGGAAGGGCCAGAGGCAGCTGCTAGGACAGACTGAGGAGCACAGATGCTCCAGGACACCAGACACTAAAGGACAGACATCCTGTCCTTAAAATACTCTGGCTGCCAGTAAGAATTTATAGGGGTGCCATGAGATGGCAGGAGAGCAGACAAGCAGCCCAAGGAGGTCCTTTTCCCCAGCTCCACTGCCCGTGGGCAGGGGCTGTCATGCTATATTCGGGTCTCCCGAAAGCCCCACCAGCAGCTGCAGCAGCACATGCTGCCTCCCCATGGCCTCTCCTCCCCTCTGCTGATGAGGGTGGTGGAGCAGCTAGCTGGTTATTTTTTGCTGAAGCCCAAATTCTTGTTTTCCTCCTCAGGGCCGTTTGGGATAATGGCTGGCTGCTGGTGAAGGCTGAGCGTAACCTTTCCAGCAACAAAAGCTGAAGTGCCTTGCTCGGTGCCCATTTATAAACCTCTATTGTCCCTGTTCTTCTCTTCTTTTCAGCCTTAATGTAAATGTTACCTAGAAACAGCCCTTTGCTCTTACCCTGCACCAACTGGCAGGCTGGGAACCTCACAAGAGGCTTTTTCTCTCCTGTGAAAGCTGTGCTGTGACTGCAAACTAGTTCATGGGGACCAGTTGTCCTGGATGCCACTGGTAGCCCCTGGCTTCCTCACTGCCCTGGTACAGCTTGGATGATCCAGGGAGGAAGCAGGGCAGTGGCAACCAGTGGGGAGGGCACAGGAGAAGGTGCCCAAGGCCACCACGCCCCAAACTGGGCTGTGTCCACCTGAGGGAGACCAGAAAAATAAAATATCTTCTGCTGCTGGAGGCCACAGTCCACCTGCGAGCCGGTCCATGGCTGCAGCCTGATCCAACAGCACATCTCCAGCCGTCCCATTCCTGTTCATAACACCCCGATGGGTGTGGGGTTGAGTTGGTTGTTAATGAAATAAGCCGAGGTGAATGAGGATTAATGGTAAATATCACTAACTGTATCTGCACATCTCCTCCAACCCTTCTCCAGAACAAGGTCCTCAAAGCCCCTCCAGGTCTGGGACACATTTAATGGGGAATGTGGAAAAAATTCTCCTGATGGTGAATGCTTCCACAATGGAAAGCAAAATGGCATTTCCCCACATTGGTTCGCTGTGTTTGGACACCCCCCTGCATGTCCCCTGGCCTCAGTGCACAATATCCCGCCTGTTTTTGGACTCGCTATGTGTTTTCCTCTGCCTGCTCCGGTGGAGCAGCTGTAACTTTTCAAACTGCAGTTGCTTCATCCTTCTGACCCCTGTGACGGGATGTGTATGCAGCAGTATTTCAGAGGTCTGGAGGGATGTGGCTCAGCTTTCTGTCTAGCTTTCTGGCTGGCTTAGCCACCTCTGTCTGCTCAGGGGAAGACTAAGGCAACACAGAGGCGTGCACAGCTCTGCTCTGAAGTGAGGAAAAACATGAGGGGATCAGCCCACAGTCTCTGTTCATTGTTTTTCTTTATTCCCTCAGTCTCTCTGTCTGCAAAAGGAGGGAGCAGCAGCCCCAGACTCTGCCTTAGGTCCTTCAGGTGCTCTTGCTGGGTTTCTCCACCTGTAGCCACATGCATGAAGCAGTTAAAAGGCTGAGATGGGATCCACAGTATCCAGTGCGGAGGCAGGGATTTAGGAAACCGTTTCTGAGCAGGGCTGGGCAAGGATCCCACCCTAAGCCACGCACGGGCGGTCACACCAGAGCTGGGCACACAGCAGCTCATAGCAACAGCATCGTTTGTGCTGCGCCGCCCCTCTGTGCTCATTTCTCCCCCTGTCTCCATGCATCCCCCCTGTCTCCATCTGCTCTCTCCCTTCCAGCAGAGCCCCAGCATCCCGGTGGGGCCCAGCGCCCTTCCCCCTCTCTGTGCTTGCTCTCTCCACGCAGGAATGAAATTGCCTTCCCTTCCCCCCACTCCCAGATCTGGACCATTGGATGTGCTTCAGCATTGATTCGCTTTGTGCTCGGCTTCCTAGAGCCATTTTGTGGTACTGCAGGGGAGGGATTTTCTTTCTTATCTCATGTGCTCTGCTCCCTGAATAAACCTGGCTGGAGAAATACTGGGGGCAGGGGTTTAAATGCAGCGGGGAAAAAAAAAAATAAATATATTGGATTTCCTTTAATGCATTACTAATGGTTGTGGCTGTACAATATGTTTGTAATGGATGGGTTTTGGAGAGGGGAGGGCTGTTTTTTTGCGGAGGCAGCAGCCAGGGAGGGGGGCAGAGCGGGCAGTGTGAGAGAGGGACAGGAGGACAGGTTGCCCTACCCTGGCCAGCCTCCAGCCCCAGATCCCAAAACTTCAGCAACGATGTGAGATGAAAACCAGGGGGTTTAGTGCCGGCAGTGCCATGTTCCCCAGTACACACATTGCAGCCATCCTGTGAAGCAATAGGGCTGAAGGGTAATGAAGGGTGGGGGAGGCGAAGGTTGGTGGCTCCCAGGTTTGGGTTTGACCTTTTGGGTAAAAAATGACCCAAGTGGGAGCCTTCTGGGGCTGCTGGGGCTTGGAGTGGGCTCTGAGCAGCATTAACAGTCTGCCCTTCTCTTTCCCCCTACCCTCTGGCATCCCCCACAGAAGCTGCTGATCCCAACTCGACCCTGGGCGGTGGAACGGGCACCATGGGTCTGAGTGCCCGCTACGGCCCCCAGTTCACCCTGCAACATGTCCCTGATTACCGGCAGAACGTCTACATCCCGGGCAGCACCGCCACCCTCACCAACGCCGCCGGCAAGCGCGATGCCAAGAACGCCGGCTCCTCGGGAGGCAACAAGAAGAAATCCGGGAAGAAAGAGAAGAAGTAGAGAAGAAGAAGGAGACCTTAGAGCTACAGGGCAGCCGGCTCTAGCACTCCCCCAAACCACAGCCCAGGCCGGAGGACGAATGTCGATTTTTTTTTGTGATGCAAAAGTAGGAAACGCTGCGAATGTATCTCCTCATCATCAGAGCTAGGAGCAGGCTCTCACTGCTGTTAGATCTGATGATGAAAACCAATCCGGAAGCTAAACCGAACACAAATAAGTGCCCTGTGAATACTTGCTAATGTTTTATACGATCCCTCGGGTATTTGAGTATGCAAGGGCGGAAGGTCTTTTGCCACGTCTTTGGATCCGATTTGCTCCCAGATAGTCCAAGAAAGGCACAAGGCTTGTGCTCGGCTTTGCCCTGTGTAAATAATTTCAACACGGATCTTTTAATTTATAGACCTTCGATCATTTTTTTGGAAAGGAAAAAGAAATTCCTAGCTTAAAGCCCATGCTCCAGATCTTTGCTCTTAAACTTTCCATTAGTACAATTCACGTTGAGTTAATGATAGCGATGGATTTGTTGGTAGGGAGTGCTTCAGTTCCTGCTTCCCTGTTACCTGGAAAAAAAATAAGTGTTTATATTGCATGAGTCAAAGGGAATATGGCAAAGCTGCATCCTAAACATTTATTATTTTTTTAAATGTGCAACCACTGATGGTCTGAAATAAAAGACAAAAAAAAGTTTGGATGTCCGAGAGGTAGGGAATTCAATGAGGAGTGTGCCGAGGTGTGCGGCAGCTGCCCCAGCGGTTCTAGGGGTCTCTGAAAAGCAGACACATCTCATCCCTTCTTTGCTTTAAATATTTATATGTACAGTCAATGTTCTTCTGGATTTAAAGCTAAGAGAGTCTCACTCCCCTGCAGCCAGGCAGCTGCCTGGCCAAGTCCTCACTAAGGGGACCGGGGGACGATGCTTCACGTTTCTGCACACCGCATCTGCATGCATGTCCTTCACCTCGCACCTGCACTAGCACAGTTAGCTCCACGGACCCAGAGAAGCCCTCGCATGCCCATGCAGTGTGGGGTGAATGTGCCGGCAGCTGCCTTGGGGGGAGGTGGGTGGGTGGGGTGGGTGAGATCAGACAAGTGGAGTGGGAAGACCCATCACTTCTTATTTGGGGTGCAAACCACAAATAAGAAGGTTCTTTAGGGTCTCGCCCACAAGGATGAGATCTGCGGAGCTGCCGGCATGTGGCTTTGGAGCAGAGTTGGTGACTGAGTAAGTGGCAGTTGGTTCGGTGGCACCTCAGGACCAGACCCAGAGGAGGGACCTGAGAGCTGAGGGTGAGCAGGGGGTGATGGTGCAAAGTCAACGAGCTGGGGTGACAAGGAGAAGGGGTTGTACAGGACCATGCTGGCCAGCCTGGACAAGGTGGTGCTCCCTCTGGCTTTGGGCTTTCTACAACACAGAGGGAATCGAAGGATGAGAAAGGAAGTTTCTCCATGTGCCCTTGCACCAGTCTGGCTTCCCATATCAAAGCAGCTCTGAATCCCACAGGGGAGCAGAGAGGGGACTGTGTGTAGCCAGCGAGAGAAGAGGGGCTGCAGGGTGACCAGGAAGGGGCCGTGCCAGGTTGTTTTTTTCCCTTTTTAATCACTAACATGTAACTCACCTGAGCAGATCCAACCCTCTGGGCCAGGCTCTGCTATGGCAGCCGTCACCCCATCACCACCCCTTCCCCAAACCCAGGGCAGCAAGAGCAGCCTGCGTGTTTCATCCAGATCCAGCCACCTCCGGTGCTGGCTGCGCTGGGAGCCGTTCCCAATCCTGTCCCCTGCAGCTGCCACCTACCCCCCCTCCCTCCCAAAATGCTGTAGTTGAATTGTAGTCTTTATATTTCTTTTTAATCTGCAATCTGAGGTAGCATAGTGAGTGTCGTGTATTTAGTGGCGTGTTATTTTTAATCTCGGTAACTAACTTGTGGACACCAGTATTTTCAATTTTCTCTGTATCTTCTTTCCATGTGGTCTGTGCTCCAAGTGTACGTGAATTGAAACACGTTTGCCCTTTCAATGTGTCTAATATTGAATTATACTTATATATTATATATATGCTTATATCCTTCTTATACCCATATAGACCAATGTCAATGTGTTACACGCAAGTTTTATACTCTAATATTTATATTGCTTTTTTCTTTGGGAAAAAAAAAATAATAAAATGGTTTCTTCTGAATTAATCACATTTATTCCAATGGGAAGCAGGAGGTTCAGATGGAGCCTGTCCATCCTGATCCTTTCCCTGTGGGGGGAATCCAACACAGGCTGTGGAGAAATGTCGCATGGTTCAGGGTATTGCAACTGTGGAGGAAAAAATAATTTTCTGCTGCCCAGATGAGAGGGGAGGGTGGAGGGAGTGGGGGCAGAGCAGCCCCAGGAGACAGACAGACACACACACACACACAGAGCCCAGGAAGGGGGGGATGACATGACACGAGGAGACTCCAGGAACACAGGGTACAGCCTCCCCTCCTTGTATTCCCATTCTGCCCTGCCCCAGTGCCTCCCTTCAGGCTGCAGCTCCATGGCCTCCACCCTTCGAGACTGCCCTTACACACAGAGGTCACTCCCAAATCCCCCTTGCAGAACAACAGACAATCCCTAAGTTGCCCTGCACTCCACAGGGACACCCACCCTCCCCATCCAAATCCTGCTGCACTTCCAAAGGGATCCCATGAAATCCCCCTGCACCTCTCACAGTAATACCCACCCCCCCGCCCCAAATTCCCCTACAGCCCACAGAACCAACCCTCTTCTCCTCCCTGTGCACATGGGGACAGCCCTGAGCGCATCTCTCGCATGCTGGAGAACCTGAAGCTTATCAGGGGCAGCTCCAGGGGAACAACAATGGGGATCAACCACACAGACCTACTGCTAATAGGGACCAGGGCTGAGCATGTCCAGGTGTCACCCACCAGCACCTGCCCTAGCCAGGGTGACATAGTTGCAGAGCATCTCCCTTTGCCAGTGATGGCTCGGCTGCCTGGAGCCGAGCAATGGTGGCTGTGGGTGGAGGAAGAGAGGAGGATGAGGTCAGTGTGTCCCCAGCCAGGCAATGGCCACCACCGGTGGTGAGCAAACAGGCTTTGCAGAGTTGCAGGTGTGGGTCTGGCTTCAGGAGCCCTCGGCCTCCCCAGTGCCCTGAGATCTGTGGTGTTCTGATGTCCCCAGCTGCTGGAGTCAGTGTAAGGATGTATGCAGTGTGCGGGTGCTTATTTAGTTTCATTTTATTTCTCTTCTCTGTTGCACTAAAATCACCCAAGGGCATTGTGCAAACCGAAAATAAAAGCACAGTGACACAGACCCGGCCAATTAGCACTGATGAAGGGAACTCGGTCAGCTGCACTAATTAACAGGGACACGATGGGAGTGAGAACATATTTGCTGCAGTGTGGGGAGCTGATGGAGGATTTCCTGAGCTAGGGTGATGGGAAAAGGGAGGCAATAGAAACAGAGCCTGAATCACAGCCCTGGCAAAAGGGATGCAAAGAGGGTGACAAGACCTGACCCCCAGCAGCCTGCTGCTGCATCTTCTCCTCCTCCTCCTCCTTCATTTCTTTCTTCCCAGTAAAACCAGGACAACCCCACCACCATGAGCAGCTCAGTGCCTCTTCTCCTCTCTTCCTGCTGTCGTTTGTCAACCTGTCAGGTACATCCATAGCATGGCCCTGGGCTTCTCTGCAGGCAGCTGAGCTGGAAGCCCTTGGTGGTGCAGGAACAGGACACACAGGGGCTGGAGACCTCGTTGCTATTCCCTTGAAGATTGTCCTCAACTCACTGGTGGGGCTGGAGCTGGTAGATGCTGTGGACAGTGACAGCCCAGCATCATCAGCTTGCAGGGTCCTTGTTCACAGCAGTCACTTTTTTTTTTTAACCACTTGACTTTGCAAACCAAAGAAAAACATCAGCAACAACAACAAAAAAAGGGAATTGAGCAACCCCGATTTTCCGCTGGATTTGTGAGCTGAGCTGACCCATGGTCGCTTGGCCACAGCAAGGGCTGGGTGTGGAGCTGGCACCCTGCCCGCTGACGTGCTCCTTGGCATCAGGCAGCGGTCACGGGCTGAGTCCCACCAGGCAGCTCCTCCAGCCATGATCTCACCCAGCAAAGAGTCAGGGTAGGGGGGGGCGAAATCGCCAAAAAAAGCTGTGTTTTTTATGCAGCTCCCTCTTGCCTGCTCCTCTGGGGTCACTGAATGCAACTGGGAGGTTGTCTCAGGTCTGACCCAGACACTGGGTGTTGCAGGTTAAATTCTTTTGCCAAAAAGCTTGCAGCTGGATTTTGAGCATGTCCTGAGAAGAAGAAACCCAAGGAGCTGGCAGCAGTGGGGCTTCTCCTCCCATAAATGCATCATTGGGGAAAGCAACTGATGCTCGCAAAAAGCATTTAGAAATCTTGGTGCTTGGGATACAGAAGATCTAAGAGGGACTTGCTGGGGTGCAAATGGGCCAGACAAGGGGAGTGGGTGTCCGTAGCAGGGGTGGGAAAGCCCTTCCCACAGCCCATGCCACCCAGCTCCCCGCCACCCCCTCACTGCAACATCCTCTGGGATTTTATTCCCCCCAGTGCAGCCTGCTCGTCTTACAGCCTCACATTCCTGTGTGGGAATAAGAGGTATTTCACCATCCTCCATGTCCCTTCCTGCTCCATAAATCCATTTCTTGATGCTTTGATTTTTCTTCTTATCTTTTTTTTTTTTTTTAACAGCTTAAGCCCAGTGTGCGGAGATGGAATAAAATTCACCTTTTTGGTGGCTGAAACCTCATGACTGCGGTGAAGGAGAGGGTGGAGGGAGGGCACTGCCTGCCCTTTGCTGGCCCCGCCAGGGCTGGGTGGCTGCCAAGAGCTCATCCATCACACAGAAGAGCAGGGCCAGCCCTCCACCGTCCTCTGGGTTGCAGAAGACTGGACTAAATACAACGTGGTGGGATTTTTGCCCTTTCGCAAACTGCCTGACCTCGCGAGGGCCTCTGCCATACATTGGCATGCTTGGAGCCTGCTCTGTCTGTCCGTCTGTCCTTTTCCATGAGGCAGAGCCTTTGCCCTAGCCATGCTGGTGGCCGGGTGTCTGAGGAGCTCGAGCCTGGGGAGCTGACAGTAGCTGCAGCCAAAACCTGAAGTCATGGAGCTGGGGAGGGCGGGGGAAGGAGATGGATGCCAGGTGGGATGAAGGCAAACAGGGCAGAGGGAGGAGATTCTGTGGGCACTGCTGTCAGGCAACAGTGTGGCTGGAGGGGCTTAGGTCCAAGGGGACATTGCTGTCACCCCCCCTTGAGCCCACACGCTTCACTGGAACCTGCTGGGTCTCCTGTGATGCTGTAGGTGGGATCTGCCAGGTTCACTGTCACTAAGCTGCTTGTGGAAGAGCCGTCCCCTGTGCTTTGTCTTGGTCTGACACACAGGAGCACCCCTCTGCTGCCTCTGAACCCAGTGCTGCTCCCCCAAACCCATCCCTGGGTTTGGAACACAGCCAGGCAGGGCTTATTCCCTCACGGATGCCCCCAGCCCCTATTGCTTCCCAGGGATTTTGAGCAGAAACAGCTCAGC